CATGGTTTATGAATGTATGCATTCAGACAAACAGGTTTCTTCAATCATGGTCAAATAAATCCAGCTTATATTTTGCCTTTTCTATGAATTAAAATATTCTTCCAGAAATCTAGATGGTCACCACATGCTTTTTGTAAAACTTGACACGAACAAAAAAGAAGAATGACTCCTATCTTGCTGCTCTTTCATGGATCCTATTTTTATGGAATCTTTTTCTGATGGTCGTGTCATTAACATGAAATTTAATTAAGACATAGGTCCATGATGGCGAACCTATGGCACGCATGTCACAGGTGGCATGCAGAGCCATTTGTGCGCGCACATGAGCCCCAGCCAAACTTACCTGCACTGTGCTTGCATGTGCCTCCCAGTTGATTTTCAGCTGATTTGAGGCCATTTTCGCCCTCCCGGAAGCTTGAGGGAAGCCTTTGCAGCCTCGGGAGGCCAAAAAATGGGCCTTCTGGAAATACTGGAAGTGCCAAAAGGGCCCGCTTTCAGCCTTCAGAGACTCCAGAGGCTTCCCTTGAGACTCTAGGAGGGTGAAAACGGCCTTGCCCGGCCTCCAGAGGCCCTCTGGAGGCTGAAAATGGGCACTTCTGATATTTCTGGAAGGGCCATTTTTCAGCCTCCCGAGACTTCAGAGACTTCCCTTGAGCCTCCAGAAGGGCGAAACAGTCTCAAACAGGCCAAAAATCAGCTGGGAGGCACGTGCATGCAAAGTGCCTGTAAGGGGGCAGGGCGTATGTGCAAGGGGTCAGGGCACATTGCATTGTGGGTGCCAGTGTGTGCACGCTTTCAGCAAAAAGGTTTGCCATCATTGACATAAGTGGTCTGCAGATTTTTGCTATTTTTTAAATTTTTTAATGGTACTTTACCTTTTTATTAGTATGGGCATAATACTTTACCTTTTGTCTATGACCAATTATTAATTCCTGAACTATGTTAATTATTGATCCTATAAATCACACAATCAAAAATGGATGTTGCATTCAAACAAATACTTGCACAATGTCATTTGGAATGTGAATGGTCATGCATGTGGCACCTGTTATATTTCAAGCTGCCTTTTTCTTAAATGAGGGGCTCTGGTGCTGTTTTTACAACCACCTCAGGGTTTGGAGAAAAGATGCATAAGGAAAGCCAGTGAGCATCCCCAAATGAGCTTTGAATCATAGCCTGTCCTTTCAGAACATATTTTTTCACTGTCTAATGTACAAACATATAGAAAGCTCTATTTTAAAAATGATTTAAATGAATGTCCAAGTGTGTGTGTGTGTGTGTGTGTGTGTGTGTGTATGTATATGTATATGTATATGTGTAT